TTTGAATATTTTTTTTCTCTTCTGAAATAAAAAGAAATTAAGGTATATAATTGTTTTTCCCCTAATTTGTTAATTGTTCAAATATTTCTTAAATAGGTGTATTTATGTAAAAAATGGATAAATAAATGATAAAAAAAATACAAGAACAAAAGTAAATTTATAAGAATTGAATGATAGCCAAAAATATATATATACAATAATAAAAAATAATAATAGTAATAATAAAATAAAAAAGATAAAAATAACTATATAAATTTTTAAAAATAAAAATAAATAAAATTATATATCATGAGAGGTGACACTACGAAAGCGCCCGCAATCACAGAGGGTGATGCTTAAGAGGGTAATAATTACACATGTCATTATATATGATAATTTGTATATACAAATGGTTAGCTATGTTATGGATTCTGTTATCTCTGTTCTATTTTCCATTCACAGGGCAACAATGAGTATTCTCCCCAACCAGATTCCTTTGGCCCCACTCATGGACAAGGAAATATTTGGCACAGGAGTCCTTATCAAAGAAGAGCTCAACAAGGGTGTCACCGAAGAAATAAATATGGAAATTAAGGAAGAAGTGTATGATCATGCAGATGAAGTGAGTGAAGTGAAAGTGGAAAATGAATTTCTTTCCTTCAGGGATCTTCAGGACCTTGAAAATGAAGCAAATGAAAACGACTCGTGTGATATTACTGTGGATTGCCAATTGTGGCTGAGGAAAATGAGAAAAAATGTTCTTCAGAAGAGGATCAGCCAAAAGATATTATACAAAGAAAAGTGAATAGGAAAATGAAGTGTTTTGCATGTGATGTATGTGGCAAGATTTTCAGCAGAAAATCACATATAGAGAAACATATGAGAGTACACACAAAAGAGAAGCCATACAGCTGTGAAATTTGCAGCAAAGCCTTCTCTGTGAAAAGTAATCTTACAGTGCACTGGAGAGTACATAGAAAGGAGAAACCGTATACTTGTGACCTTTGCTATAAAGACTTTTCACGAAAATCTACCTTAGTGAGACACATGAGAGTACATACAAAAGAGAAACCATGTATTTGTGACATTTGCAAAAAAGCCTTTTCTGAGAAAGGTTCGCTGGTAAAGCACATGAGAGTACATACAAAGGAGAAACCGTATATCTGTGACATTTGCGAAAAAGGTTTCTCAGATAGATCTACTTTAGTGATACACATAAGAGTACATACAAAAGAGAAACCATATATCTCTGAGATTTGCAATAAAGGCTTTTCAGATAAATCAACCTTAGTGAAACACAGAAGAGTACATACAAAGGAGAAACCATATATCTGTGACATTTGCTATAAAGACTTCTCAGATAGATCTACCATAGTGAAACACAGAAGAGTACATACAAAGGAGAAACCATATATCTGTAATATTTGCAAAAAAGCCTTCTCTGCTAAAAATTCTCTGGTAATCCACATGAGAGTACATACAAAGGAAAAACCATATAGCTGTGAGATTTGCAATAAAGGCTTCTCAGATAGATCCAACTTAGTGGGACACATAAGAGTACATACAAAGGAGAAACCATATATCTGTGAGATTTGCAAAAAAGCCTTCTGTGAGAAAGGTTCTCTAGTAGTGCACATGAGAGTACACACAAAGGAGAAACCATATAACTGTGAGGTTTGCAATAAAAGTGTCTCACATAGATCAACCTTAGTGAAACACAGAAGAATACATACAAAAGAGAAGCCATATATCTGTGACATTTGCAAAAAAGCTTTCTCTGTGTGTACATGAGAGTACACACAAAGGAGAAACCATATATCTGTGATATTTGCAAAAAAGCCTTCACTCGGAAATTTCATCTTGTAAGGCACATTAGATTACATACAAAGGAGAAACCATATAGCAGTGAGATTTGCAATGAAGACTTCTCAGATAAGTCTGTCTTAGTGGATCACGTAGGAGAACGTGCAGAGGATAAGCCATTTATTTGTGGTTTCCAATAAAACCTTATATCTAAAATATATTCTAGAACAACAGAAGAGAGTACATGGAAAGGAGCAATGTGCCTGAGGATTCACCAAGAAATATGATTCAGTGACTATGTGCGGGCATGCAAAGTCGAAGCCAAATAGGCATTCTCTGGGAAAGAAAGAATACTCTGGTGTACATAAAGGTCACAGGCTTAACATATATGAGCTTTGTAGATATAACTTCACCTTGAGCAGAAATTTAGTAGGGCAAATGATAATTACCAATGAAAAAAAATTATCTACAAGGAATACTTCCTCTTGATATTGTGGCAGATACATCATCATCATCCTTCGTTTGATCTAACTCCCTTACCTAAATCACCATAACCTTTTCCCTCATCTTCAACCTTTCAACACTATTCTTGATAGTTGACACATAGCAACTATCACCTGACATCCCCCTTTACTATACCTTCCTATAGTGCTATATGACCTTAGGTGTCTAGCACATTTATTATAACCATTAACCATTAACCTCCTATATCTGTAAA